AATGCATTTACGCACCATAGAGGGAGTCAATGGGCGATCCCTCCATGTGTGGGACTCAGGGGCTGATGCCCTAATACCCACTAAACCCCACCTCCGTGCCTCCCCGGTCACCACAGCCACGGATGTTCGGTGGCTGAAATAATGAGTTTTACAAATTAGTAGAATGAAAAAATTATATTGTACTTTCAAAACATGTTAATCTTACCTATGTTGGATGCGCCTTATTCTGCGTCATCCCAGAAGTTGCGGAGCGGGACGATCTTTCTACAACTTCGCGACCTCCTCCTTTCGTGAGCCGCTTTCAGGGCCACCATCACATGGCCCTTGAATTCCGCCTTTTATGGGGGATCAAAATGCCTATTTCATTTCATTGCCTCTACAAAACAGAAATATTACAAAATATTATGAATCATATGATTAATAGTTATATACGATCATATTATAAATACATGATACTAACCGTATATGGCGAAAATAATTTTCGACTCGCATAGTCCATATTTGTCGTCGCGCCCGCCTAGCCATGTCAGATGGCTAGCAAGTTTTTCCGTAAAGGTTTCCTTAAAAGCACAGTTTACTGCCTCCCGCCTAATGACCTATAATATGCAATCTAAGGAACGAAAATTGGGGTAAATATATGTGTACACGTACGTTGCACTCATTATTGCTTCACTTACGAGATCATTGAACATGTCTTTCGCTATTCCGTCCATGTCAATGAAATCCTCGACACGGTCGAGAGGGAATTGCGGACCGTATAATTGCGGTCCGGATGAAATACGCGTCAAAGCGTGGCCAGAGGACTTTGCATGTGGTGCGCATTTCGTCTTTTCGTTTCTCTTCCACCTTCATTCCTTTTTTCCCGACTAAGGGTTGCAGCGGATGCCCGAGTCGCGCCGTTGAGGTTGGCCCGACACGTGGCCCGGCTCCCCTGTCAGCCATCTTTTTTACGGCCCCGGTTCTCGCGGTGGGCTCCATGGATCCGTCCGGAGTTTCCGTCGTCACTCCCGCACTAGCACACCCCCATTTTCATCCAGAAGGGGCTACCAGTCTTCCCTTCCATATCCGGCAACCTCAATTGGACCCTTCCTTCGGCGTCTGGGTCCGTTCATGCTACGTGCCCGGCATCGCCATACAACCGATATCCTGGCGTTCGATTTCCTTCTCTGCCACCCGGTGCTCGCAGGGGCAGAGTTCTTTGCATCCTTTGATGCGATGCAACAGCACGAAGGGAGCCTCCCCGCCGTACTTCGTATCTGTTTGTACTCCTCTACTGCATTGCTCGTTCACTTCAGTTTGCGTAGCCGCGTTCATTTTCACACATCAGTATCAGAACACGTGTCTAGGTAGACTGGTGCGACGCCTCAAGCCGTTGATTTACTACGTCGTCCGCAATCAGCTGGCGGCGCTCACGTACGGTCGGACAGAGTTCTGCATAGGACGGAAAAAGGGGCCGATCTCCTCGCAGCCTGGGCTAA